AAAAACTTGCGCGAGATCTACTCTAGTTTAAAAGGAAACTATGAATTGTAGACGTAAAAACTGAACAGTGATTTATTAAAAAAAAAAAACTGAACAGTGACGTAAACCTAGATATATGTTACAAGTAAAACAGGGATCCTGCTGAATAATTTCAGTGTCTCACTCGATTCATGTACTAGCATTTCCAAAGTTTGCCATTGACAAACGAAAAATCTGGTGCACACAAAAGTCAAAATACCATGTTTTCTCGATGAGGACAAAGAGCTTCGACCTAATGTACACATTATTCTTTTTCAAGCACATATATATAAAGCGTTCCTCTTAACATTTTACCAAAAAAAAAATATATAAAGCGTTCCAGCGACCCGTTCACTGTGGGCACATTTGGGTTTGTTCTACAAGCCTTCATTATAGGCAATCCGATCGGTAGTTTGGCTTTTATATTAATTTTGTGTAGTGTCGGTTTTCAATTTGTCTGCAAGGATAAAGCTTTCAACTTTCTTGGGCATTACCGTGTGAAGAAAGCATGTAACTTTATCTCTTGAGATTCTTCATGGGTTTATATTATTCTCTTTCAAATTTATCAGCCAAAAAAGGTTCAGTCTCGTTGGACAGCTACAAAATCCACTTGGTTTTCTTCCTTTTTTGCTACCTTCCATAATTTTAAAAAGAGGTCTTTTCCCAGCTATCCCACTCTGATTTTTTGGTTCTTCTCTTCTTTAAGAATTTGGATTGTTATTTGATGCATGGTTTTGTGTTTAGTTTGGAGAGAAATGAAACAGCTTCTGAGGGTTCTGACTTGGAGGAATATGTTGGTCCTCTCAGTGGCCGTAAACTTCAGCTTGATTCTAAGGATTTTGAATGGTGACGGTGGAAATTCCAGGGATAGACCGGCGTATGTTAGTACGTGGCCAGTGGTCTCCACCACGGGCACAGGATCTTCTTCCTTGTCTTCAAGATCTTGCAACTATAGCGAGATTGAAGAAGACGATGACATAATTATCAATCTCAAACTGTAAGTTTCCACAAAACAATTATTTTTTCTTGGGGTTTTCAGATTAATAAATGAGTATTGATGGATCTAGAATCTGTATGCAAATTTTTCCCTTGTCCCATACTTAATTGCTTTGAAAGTCACTGGTTATATCAAGGAATCTAAGATTATCCTTTTGAGCACGCAAGTCAAGAAGCTCCAAGCTTTAATACCATAATCACCATTCCATTTAAAATCAAATCTTTAAAAGCGGGGAATGTTATGATTCTTTTCATGATCGTCTTCATTGACTAGCCTATATTTCAAACAAAATATATTGCAATTCTGTCTTAGTTCTGCGTATACTTGTGTTGCTTAACGTGCGCCGGTCGTTTGAATATATGGTTCTGTTATTTAGTGTGTTACGACTTGTCATCTTTTCATGTTGATCATGGAGGTCCATTTTTTTATTTTTTTCATGGGAGTTTATGTATATTGGTCATATATGTCAACTCATTAATATTATAATAGTTGGATCTTGGATGCTCGCAACTAATTTAGTTAGTGATAGCCAATGGGTTAAAGAAATAGAAAATTAAGGTTGAGACATCAAGAATATAGAACTTTTTTTATTCTCTCCAAATTCGATTGTCAAAGAAAAGCTTATAAATATGTAAAAGAGAAAAGTAAAGAGGTGTCCATGGTTGACATGATTCTGCATAGATACATATTTCATGTCTTTTGAGAGAATCTACTTGACCATGTTCTTCGATGTTTCCCATCTCCAGTTACTCAAAGATTCTTGTCACACAATACACACAATGTATGCTAATTAACCTCGACGTGGTATCTATACGCAGTGGCGATCCAACAGTATATGAGAGATACTGGCAAGAAATGGGGGAGGTGACAACAGTAGTGATACATGGATGGCAATCGCTAAGCTATTTTTCAGATAACAACAACAACCTTTGTTGGTTTCTTGAGCCAGAACTTGGTAAAGAGATTGTGAGGGTACATAAGCTTGTTGGGAACGCTGAAACGCAAGACCATTTCATTGTTGTTGGCACTGGCTCAACACAGTTGTATCAGGCTGCTCTCTATGCTCTCTCCCCACACGATGACTCTGGTCCCATTAATGTCGTATCTGCTGCACCCTATTATTGTGTGAGTCATGTGATCCTGAGCCGTCTCAAACTATTTTTAGGCCAAGTACACGTTCTCTATAGCTATTATTCCCCAACATAAAGTCATGAATTATAAACACCTAAGATTGCTTTACAAAAGGTTATTATAGAAAAAACATCATTTGAATACTTCAGTTGCTGCTTAATTTTTTAAATTTCCTTTAGGATCTAACATGTGAAGCCGGCTTGGTTGCAGTCGTATCCGTTGATTACAGACTGTCTCAAATCGGGTTTATATCGATGGGGCGGAGATGCAAAGGCATACAAGGAAGAAGATCCCTACATTGAACTTGTTACGTCACCAAACAACCCTGATGGGTTATTGAGACACGCAGTGGTGAACCGTAATGAAGGTATACTGATCCATGATTTGGCTTACTACTGGCCGCAGTATACGCCAATAACAACGAAAGCTAACCACGATGTAATGCTCTTCACTGTTTCAAAGAGCACTGGCCATGCAGGGATGCGAATCGGGTACTTTCTTGTTACAGTTTTGCTTAATTTATGGGAATAGAACGAAAAGGAAGTATCCTAAACGTTACATTCTTGTTCATATTGCAGATGGGCTTTGGTGAAAGACAGAGAGACAGCAAGGAAAATGACAGAGTACATAGAACTCAACACGATTGGGGTTTCAAAGGACTCGCAGCTTCGAGCAGCCAAGGTTCTGAAGGTTGTGTCAGACAGTTGTGGGAATGAAATGGCCAAATCCTTCTTTGAGCACAGTTATGATGCCATGTCCGAGAGGTGGAAGCTATTGAAACAAGCGGCGGAGAATACCAAACGTTTTACCGTTCCTTATTTCACCTCTCAACGCTGCAATTTCCTTGGCAAAGTATTTGAGTCACAACCAGGTACGTTGAAATGGAAACAAAGTAAATGATATATTAATTAGAAAACCAAAGTTTTCTTTTTTCTAATTGATGTTGTTTCGGTGTGTTTTGTGTAGCTTTTGCATATTTAAAGTGTGAAGAAGGGATTGTGGATTGTGAGAGGTTTCTCAGAGAGAATAAGAAGATTCTAACGAAAAGTGGAAAGTACTTCGGAGATGAGGAGAGTTATGTGAGGATAAGCATGTTGGATAGAGATACTAACTTTAATATTTTCCTTCACAGGATTTCATCTTCATACAATGCAAATGTGCAAGTACATGTGGGATGTGATGATGACCTAGGTCGTAATTAACATCGTGATAAGTGCTTTCTCTACACTACTACTGGAGATTTGAATAATAAGAAGATCAAGCAAAACTCGTCGAACTGTGAAAGATGAATGAACGAGCATTCATTCACTACCGAGCGTTCGTTCAAGTGTCATCAACATCCTAGTCAAATATAGTAGCATGATCCGGTTCACTTTTTTTCCACTATTCACAAGTTCTTTTGGCTGGTAATGAAATATTAAAATATATCCGCAGGAAAATTCATTTAAGGATTAGAATTTGTTAAACTTTTATACTAACCACTCTTTTAAAATTACTCGTTTGGCAACCAGTGACACCGAACATATATCCAAACCGGTTCACACCTCTATCTTAATTGATTTTATTAGAGAATGAAGCCTCCAATAGGCAAACGAAACTTTAAATTTGAAAAATTACGAATAATTTATAAATGCATGGAACACCGAGTATTAGTTAGGGATGCGAGAAAAAAACTAATTTAGAGCATTTTGTTTTCGTGCTTTTTGTTTATGCGAGAAAAAAACTAATTTAGAGCAAAATATTTAACTAGCACTATATAAAATATAATATCGCTTCCGAAGAAAAAACTTATTTTGTCGCAAATTCTTTACGATTTTATATAGTTCTTGCTAAACATTTTTTTTTTCCTAAATAAGTGTCCACAAAAAAATTATTTGAAGTTTATGATAAATTATTTATTGTATTGAATATGTGACGGATTTATGAAGAATTTGATTTAGGACAGATAAAATTGTAGTTAATACAATAGTAAAAAAAGCACTAAATCATAACAACATATGAATTCAATAATATAATGGAAACTTAAATTGTTTATTTATGTAAGTTTTGTAGACAAATAACAAAAAAATGTTTTTAATACAATTAAGATATGGATCTTTGAGATATCCTAATTTAGTAAGCAAATATAATTGTGAAAATATACATCCACTTAGTTATAAAAAACAAGGTGGACACAAAATTTAATTTATCTGGAAAAAAAAGAGTAAGTAGTGACAGACAAATAAAATCAATGAGGTCAAAAGAGTTATTATAAATGGGAGCATTAATATTTTATCTTTACTAATTACACTACTTATAATTATTTCATGGGGGGCAGCTACCCCCTCCCCATTCAATGTGCCTCCGCCCTTGGCT